TAGGATGCTCGTCGCACGTGATTAACAACATAGTTGAAAGCAAATTGCCTACAAGAGATGCTTGCTACTCATGCTCAAATGCTCGAGATAGGAGTTCTAATATGCATCGTGCACTTGTCTCCTCTCAAGATTATAACTTCTATTTATATGAAGTTACCTAAAGTTTCTCAGGGTATCCTAGACCGTAACCAGCCTCTTCTTTGTTCATAGAATGCGAGATCACCTAGGTTGCCCGGGTTGGCCCAGGGTTCATTCGATTCATAAACAAAGCGATACATACTTGAGCCGTGGACAGGATTAACTCATAAGTTGTCTTCCTCAACTGAGTTGAAGCCAAATTTCACTCAAAGCCTCCTCCGTCTTCCATTCTGAGGATTTGATTGAAAATATGTGCCAAAGTGTAATTTGTAAAAGTATAGGGACTAAATTGTAAATTAATGAGGTAATAAGGATTTAATTGAAAATATGTTTGTTTTTCATTAAAGAATTTTCAACCCATGAGATATTTTTATTTAGTCATAGAAAGAGCGAGAGGCGTATTCAAGTGTAAGTATGACGTGGAAATTGCAAGATGGTTCATCAAGAAAATGGACGGCTGTGATGAATTGAATTCTAAATTGTGGCTCAGATGAGATGACAGCCAATCGGTATCTGCCACGCTTTTCAAGAATTCTAGAACCTAGTTTTTGGCTTTTCCGGTGGGAACAAAATACTACATATTATTGTTAAGTATTTTTTATTTTTTATTTTTATTTTTTGAACTTAAAATATTAATAACTACTATTTGTAATTGGTAAGTTAGTGAAATTATTGGATTTTACTCTAAAACTCTATTATATTATTATTATTATTATTATTATTTGCGCAATAAATTCATACGAATTTTCTACATGTACTCGAGATTATGCTTGAGTTGTCATGCCTGAATGTCCTCGAAAGAAAATGTATTAAATTTTAGTGGGACACATTTCTAAAGATGGATTATATTTCTTTAATTTTTACATTTCTATATGATCCATATGTTAATTATTTAAGGTAAGTTTGACATGTGGATAGAATCATAGTTTAATCTAGGTGGAATGACCTATACAACCAAATATAAACTCTGTTACAAATGAATCCTGTCCCATTTATAGAATAAGACCAAATATGGTTGGATATAAAATTGAAAATTCGGCTATGTTAGGATGTCCAACTATCTGTAGGATCGGTGTTCCGTGGAAATCCATCCCAAACGGGGCACAGATTCTCTATTTAAATCGGGAACAGAGGAGGGATGAGAAGAGATTCGGGAACAGAGGAGGGATGAGAAGAGATTTCTTTCTATTAGATAAATGGGGTCGATGACCTCGTCTCCGCCTAATTGCATGTCACATCCCTGCCCCACTTAAAAGAGAGACATTTTGGGTTCCATTTTCAAAGATTAAAAAAAAAAAAAAAAAAAAATCAATTTCCAATGAGTTTTATGACCGAATGTATAGTTTATATTGAAAAATAAAATGTATACCTTCAAAAGTTTCCTTAAAATGACTTAACAAAAATAATTTATGGTAGGAAATCCAAACCCTGTCGATTCTTTATAGAAATTTTGTGAAATCCCATATCGATTGGAGAGAAAAACGAAACATTTCTATTTCTTATAAGGGTGTGAAGCCTCTTCTTAGTAGACGTATTTTAAAACCGTGAGATTGACGACGATACGCGAACAATATGTACTGGTGATAGGTTTGGGTTGCTACAAATGATATTAGAGCCAGACATCAGATGGTGTGCCAACGAAGAAGTTGGGTCCCCAAAGGGGGTGGATTGTGAGATCCCACATCGATTGAGGAGGGGAACGAAACATTTATTATAAGACTGTGGAAACCTCCCCCTAGCAAACGTGTTTTAAAACTGTGAGACTGATGACGGTACGTAATGGGTTAAAGTAGACAATATCGACTAGCGGTGGGCTTGGGCTATTCCCGATCATGTTCTGGTCCCAAAGGAATAAATGAGGAATTTCGCAAGGATAGGGAGTGAAATAGGTGGAGGGGAAGATATTTACTAGCAATGGGCTTGAGCTATTACAAATTTCCTATTTTGATCCCAAAAGAATAAATGAGGAATTTCGCGAGCATAAGGAATGAAATAGATGGAGTGGACCACATATATTAATGATGGACTTAGGCGAACAATATCTACTATTGATGAACTTGGGATGTTATAGATTCCCTATTCATGAGGAATTTCAGGAGCATAGGGAATGAAATAGGTGGAGCAGACAATATCTACTAGCGATGAGCTTGGACTATTATAGATTCCCTCTTCATGAAGAAATTTGTGAGCATAGGGAATGAAATAGGTGGAGCGGACAGGGTTTGGGCTATTATAGATTCCCTGTTCATGAAGAATTTCGCGAGCATAGGGAATGAAGTAGGTGGAGCAGACAATATTTACTAGCGATAGAATTGGGTGAACAATATCTACTAGCAATGAGTTTGGATGGGCTTGGACAAACAATATCTACTAGCGATCTGCTTGGGCTGTTATAGATTCCCTGTTCATGAAGAATTTGGCGAGCATAGGGAATGAAGTAGGTGGAGCAAACAATATCTACAAACGATGAAATTGGGTGAACAATATCTACTAGCAATGAGTTTGGATGGGCTTGGACAAACAATATCTACTAGAGATAGACTTGGGCTGTTATAGATTCCCTGTTCATGAAGAATTTCGCGAGCATAGGAAATGAAATAGATGGAGCAGACAATATCTACTAGCGATGGACCAGGGTGAACAATATTTACTAGCGATGAGTTTGGATGGGCTTAGGCGAACAATATCTACTAAAGATGGGTTTGGGCTGTTCCAGATTCCCTGTTCAGGATGGGCTTAGGCAAACAATATCTAGAATCAATGGACTTGGGTCGTTACAAATTCCTTGTTCATGAGGAATTTGGCGAGTATAGGAAATGAAATAGGTGGAGCAGACAATATCTACTAGTAATGGACTTGAAGAACAATATCTACTAACGATGGGCTTGGGCTGTTACAGATTCTCTGTGTGTCGATCCCAAAAGAATAAATAATGAATTTCTTGCCTTCCTAATCCAACCCAACATAACATGAAATTGTGTAACCCATGACAGCAAAGTTCCATTCCATTTCATCACCACAATCATCAAAATCCTAATAAGTTTCTAAGCTCTCCAAAGAAGAAAATGGCACATTCAAACAAAGCATTTGGTATCCCATCATACAGTACACCCTGGACCTGGACACATCCATATTCACATCCCCACCTTCAGCATTATTTCCATCAAACCTCATCATTTTGTCTAATATTTGTCTCTTCCATCAACTAATTCATACTCATCACTCTTGCCCTTCTAACATGAATCTGCTATCCATTTCCCAATCTAATACCCAACATGTTCACCAAATCTTGTCAACAATAACATCATCACACATTATACACACACACAAAATAAGAGAGATTTCATCACTACTACACCTTTGGTGGAGTGGTTGAACAGTCAAGCTTTCTGCCCATTTACAAGATGAACAACACACAATTCCTGATAGAGACTTCACAATCCACAAGAAAAAAAGCAAAAAAAAAAAAAAAATAGATATTCTATGTGTTTAGGCCCTCATCTCTTCAGAAGTCTCCTCCTATTCATGCCACATGTTAAGCTTTCTGTTGGTCAAGAAGTTTAGATGCATTTTATTAAAAGTAAGATCTCCATCTATCCTACCCCTTCCATCTCTAAACTTTAATAAAGCTTTTGAACCAGTCCAAACTCAACCCATTATGGAATTGTTTAACAATTCAGTCAACAATGTATCACATCATTCTTAAATGGATAAAGTTCATCAGCATATAACTAAACAGGCAGAATCTTAGAAACAGAAACGATGACTCAAAGCAAAGAGATCAATCTTGAAAAATCTGAACCAAACTGATAGATTTCTACTTTTTCATTTTTTTCAGCTGAGTCTCTTTGTGGGTTAAAGCAACTAAAAGTATTTATTAAACACATAACATCAAATCAGTTAAATCAAACCCTACTTTTTTCACTTTCCAATTTTCTTAATCCCAGGGGTTAAAAAGGTATCCATCCCTAAGCATTGTCATGATCTAAGACCGAAAGAGATTATTTGGACAAAAAATTCTGGAAAAAGTGCTTGTAAGTTTCACATCTAAGTAGACTAGCACTGTATATCTATCCTGAGAAACATGTAAGAACAAACAAGACCCTGAAACACACCTTTATTTGGCGAAAATCACTCCTTGCTGCTAAACCTGTGACGGTCCTAGTTCACTGCTCGCAAATGTTGTCTTCTTTAGCCTTTCCCTCCGTATCTGCTAGAGAGAGATTTTTATACTCTTATAAAGAATGTTCCGTTCTTCTCTCCAACCGACGTGGGATCTCACAAAACCCACCTCTACAATTTGATAGCATTAAAAACTTCTATCTTACAACTTCTCTAATGTCTTATCAAATGGGAAACTCTCTAAATCAAAACCAAGAACAACTTTTCAAAAGGCAATGGTAAATGGCTCTAACATATCTCATCTTCCAACAGGCAACAAGATTGTATATCAAGTTTTAACAGCTCTAATTGATCCAGTCCTCTGTGTCTGTATGTATATCAATATCACCAAAGAAAAAGGCTCAACAGCATTCAAACACTAAGGTAAAATCCCAGTTTCATGGACAAGCCTTCGGATATCACTTTTCATGCAAAAACAAGGAAGTAAAAGTTAGAAAACAAGAACAAAATCTACTGTTCTTATCAAGCTTCAGACTTCTGCATTACAGAAAATGCTAATGCTGACAAGATTGACAATTCCCACTGTTCTGTGCCAATTGAAACAATAGTGTCAGCTTAAAGAACTGAGAGACAAACAAGACGTAGGCATAAAACAAGAAGAACACTATTCTTGACACGTTTATTGCAGAGAATTTGGGTTCAAGACAAAAAAAAAAACAAAATAATTGTAGCCACTGTAATAATAACAACAATAATTATTATAGTAATAATGATAATGATAATATTCACAATACACCAAAATTTCTGAAGATTATTGAATAGAAATGTGTAGATTTTTCACCTGAACTCCACCTGCCTTTCTACAGCCAAAAAAACAAAAATCTTTGAACCAAATTTTCTTCTTCACCTTCTCACTTCCTTCCTCACACAAACCAGAAGCTGCTCAACAAATTCTCACACTCTGACTCCTCTCTGAATGATGATGATGATGATGATGAGAAAGTTCAAGTGCACACTTTGTAAAGAACCATATAGCAGATGCTAATATATATGCTTTGAGGACATATACAATGAAGATTCACAACTACCACCCAATAAGAGATTCCTTTGAGCCTTTTTCTTTTTGTTCCCATTGCTTCAATGGAAATATCAATCCACTTTCACTTGAACTGGCTGAACAAATCCATTCCCAATCTTTCTGTGTTGAGTCTGCAGATGGGGAAAAACAGTCACATGTTAATCAGACATTTCTCCCAATCCAACTGAATTGAACTCAGACAACTTCACCAATATTGATCGAGTTTCCAGCAGCAGAGAATCACAAACTAATGAAACTAATAGAGTATGAAATTTTTTTAAAAAATTAGATCAAAACCTTAGAATTAGGGACACATTCAGGCGGGGTTTCGAAGAGAGACTGAGAGAATTGCTTGAAAACAACACCGACGTCGAAATAAATAACACCGGAGCTAGGAACATCGACGCGAATCCCCTTAACAGGAAACCACAAGAAGAGATCCTTGGCGGAAATCCCAGACAAGGCGCCGATCTGGCCATAACTCAAAGTGCCGGAAACATTAGTCTCGTAATGCAGTTGATTCTCGAACATCGCATTACACTCCTGATCCAAAAACACGAGAAAGCGGCCAGTGTCCTGATCGAATTGGTAATCCCTGACGCCCTTCGGAAGTAGCCCCTTGGGAAGGCCATGAGCCAATAGCACATCGTAAATCGACTTCGAAGCAGTGAAGTCGCTGAGAGCATAAGGAGCCGCCATTGAAGAGGTGAAGTAGAGGAAGGAGAACCAGAGGAAGAGCACGGAGGAAGAGGGAAGCATGGCGAATAGTGTATAATCGAGGAAGAAGGAGAAAGGTGAGGGAGATGAAGTAGGGTTTTAGAGAGAGATCAGCAATGGAGTTGAGGGAGTGAAGAGAGAATAAGAATGACAGCAGCAACACAGAGAGGAAGAAGAAGAAGAAGAAGAAGAAGAAGAAGAAGACGGAGAAGGAGAAAGCGAGGAACGGATGGAATTCAATTATTGGCGATGAGAGAGAGAGAGAGAAGGAGTGGGGCCCACAACACAACAATTCTTCAATTATGAATATATATTCCATAAAACTCCAAATTGTATACAATTTTTTTTGTAATCTAACTAACATGATATGTCTACCTTTAATATTTGGTTTTTAGGTTTTTTTTTTTAATTAAAAAAAAATTAACTTTTCAAATGTTAATTTTTCAGAAGTAAATTATATTTATTTAAAAAAATTAAGATTAAGTCAGTAAAATATATATTTATTTATTTTATGTCACTCAATTTTAATATATATTTTGAAAAGAGAGAATAAATATAAAAAATTAATGAAATTAAATATAAAAAAATAAATTGTATTTTATTTTAAAATTAATAATAAATTGGGTTACATCCCTAGAATCTAATTTTAAGTCAAATTCAAAAACTAATTTAATTTATAATATTTTTATTTATTTAAACGCAATTCTACCCAAATAAGTTTATAGCTTAATCCAAACAGTACAATTGAATGAGTTGGATTGATCCATTTTTTCGTGTTATTAAATATTTTTTTTTCGGTCACATTTTATTGATATATATTTTCCTTATTTTAATTTAGATTGAGATTAAAATATATGAATTATGAAAAAATATTTTTTAAAACATAAAATTGGAAAATAGAAAGACCCATACCACCTTCCGTATATATATATATATTAAAATAAAATTTTAAATCACTTCTCAAAAGAAAAATCCAGATTTTGACTAAAAAAATTATATCTATAGAAAATAGTATAATATCTCAGCACCATGCTTTTTTTTAAAAAAAAAAATTATAGATATTTTTGAAAAAAAATATTGGAGTAGACTGTGTACAGCATAATCTTTTGAATATATTTTAATAAATACGCTAACTTATTTTTTATTTGAAAATAATAAAAATCATAAACAATTTGTACTATATTTGACTTTTTCATTTTTTATTCAAAACTTTCCTTATTATAAATTTTATTTTTGTTCAATGGGCAAATAAAAATTTACATTTATATTTTAGAAAAATAAATAAATTAACAAATTCATCCTTATTTCCCGTGTCAATAATTAATTTAAAATAATTTTATTATTTAAGTGATTTTTAGTTAATTTTAAATAAAATCAATAATCATGGTATAAATTGCTCATGTCTAAATAAAAAAAAAAATTATGAACTTAGTCTTTTAATAGATATAACAAAATTTAAATTATTAAATTATTTTTCTCTTAAAAATATTTTTTTTAAATTTATATATGGATAAATAATGAATATTAAAAAAAACAATACTAATAAAATATGTGTGGTTCATATTAAGATTAAAATATAAAATGTGAATATTAAAGGGAATGGGAAGGGATAGGAGAAACATGGATGGAAAAGAGGGATGAGGGAATGGGAAAATAAAAATATAAAATCTAATACGCTCGTCCAAGAGGTAATTTTTTTTAGAAGAAAACTATATGCTTTTTCAATGAAATCATAATCGAACCGAATTGTTGAACTCAAGGGTTCTGTATGCACCTTACTGGGTCGGTGTCATTGCCCCAAAAACCCTACATTAGCTGTTTCAGTGGAACCAAACATAAATCGGGTAAAAAAGAAACTAAAAAAAAAAAAGCTTTAGAGGGAAAAGTAGATTGAGAAGCTCAAAATAACTTATCAATCAAATAATATAAATTATTCCGATACATGTCACGTCATTTTTCATTAATTAATTAACTGTTAAAATTCATGAAATATTTAAAACATTTTATAAATAGATATTAACTAAAATAATAAAAATGTATATTAAATATTTTATTATTTTTAGAATTAATAACAAAATTTCTCAAGGTTAAATTACTATGTTTTTTTTCATAGGAAATTGATTTTATTGAAGCTAAATTATGCCAAATACCCTAAATAAATAATAATAATAATAATAAATAGAGATAAAATTGGAAGAAAAAAAAAAGAAAAAGAAAAAGAAGCCAAAATTAAAGGAAAAGGATGGCGCAAGGATATGTTAGCTGGATTCCACCGGGGATCCCAACTGGCACGTGTCAGTAAAAGAGGACAAATATTTAACAAAACACGCGTCATTTCGGCGCGTGGAAAATGTGTACTAATGCCAGATAAGCATCGTTGAAAATGCTTATCTTTTTAGGATAATAACAAACAAATTAACATTTATGTTTTATTTTATTTATTATTATTTTTTTGTGGAAGAACTTGCGGGGTATGGTTTGATTAAAGATATACATATTTTATTTATTTTACGATTTAAAATATTTAATTTCAAACTGGGCAAAATTGTAAATAATATTTAATCTTCATTTTATAAAAAGAAAATCAGATAAATATTTAAAATTAGGTTATAATTTTTTTCAATTTATTCAAGCTTATCATGGTAGAAAATTTAAAATTAAATTAGTAATTTTTTAATACTAATTTAATTTATTTATAAAAAGGAAAAAAAAACACGAAAATTATAATATGAATAACAAATAAAGCAACATCATGTGTTGGGCCCAAATTGTACAAATAAGCCCAAGACATCACATGTTGGCTTCATCCACGGTTTTATTTTTGCAATTTTAGAAAATATTTATAATTTTAGATTATTGATTTTTAAAATACTTTTTATTTTACTTTTTTTATAGTCGAAGTTTTTCCTAAGAAATAAAATAATTTTTTATTTATAATTTACAAACTAAAATAAAATTTATAAATATTAAAATAGTTGCACATGAAGGAAAAATATATTTCCCAACAATAAAAAATAGAAAATACTATTTTTTTCTTTTTTTAAAATAACGTCGAATTTATTTATTTATTTATTGGCTTAAGAGCAAGAGGGAGTGTTGGGAAGGCTGCACTTGGCTGGCAAACCAAGAGCAAGATCAAGATCAATCCCAAGCGAGGACAGCAACATGGAGTGTTTATACTTGCAAAAGCAACCCAAGTCCGCCTTCGAGAGCCCGTCGCAACAGGCGGTGGGCGGTAGCTCGGTTGGGCACGGTTTCATCACCCATGGCTTGCACGCTTTGAGACCGTCCTTGTTGACACCACACACGTCCACCGCCATCGCCATCTCCGCTAAGCTCACCACCATCACCATCACGACCACCTTTGGAGCAGTTATGGCCATTCTATTACGTGGGTGTGTTTTTGTATATCACATGAGAGTTACAATTTTGGTATGTGTTCGTTCATTTATAGATGAGTTTTAGAAACTGTTTTGGCACAATGTAGTTGTTGGGAAATTTTCCATATTCCATATTATATATCTTAATTTTTATTGACATGTCATCGTTTTTTACGAGCTGAGCTATGTTCAAATTGATACCGAAAAATCCATTATCAAAATTAACACTTTTTCTTTTTCTATTTTCTTAAAAAATAAATGAAGTGAAAATTGGGTGAGCTAACCAAAGACCCACGAAGCCTTTTGGCAAGAAAAGGCCACAACCTTCGTCTATGGTTGGTTTAGTTGACCTAATTTTGGTTATAGTTTTTTGAGTGCTTCTCGAACAAGTTAGAATTAAATTGAATTGGTCAAATGATTAATCGACTGTGAACGTATTACCACCTACGTCAAATACGTTTTTAATTATCAACCATATTACTCGATTATTTGCACGTTTATGCTTATGATTTTAGATAAATTATTTAATCGCTAATTACATTGAAAATGTAAGCTCTGACTACTTAAAAATCTCGATAACTAGTTGAACAACAATTTGAACGTGACTCGATTAAAATATTATTATATATTATTTTTTAAGTTTGATATTTAAATCCCTATTTATTTTCAAATGATAAGCCCACAATTGTGTAATCCATGGGCTAATGATAAGCCCACAGTTGATTAAAATAGTTTATTTATAATAATGTAATTTTATATATAATAAAAAGAATTATTTTCAGAATTTATATAATTTTAATAAAAAAAAAATTAAAAGAAAAAAAATAAAAGATCATTTAAATTAAATACCAATTATGAAGAAGAATAGAAGCACACAAGTTTAGGGCAGAAAAGAAGAGTAATAGACAGATGCATGGCTAAGCTTTTAAAGGGCCTGCAATCTAAGGGCAGCTTTTGTGTATTCCCATGTGTTCTAAGTGGTTGACCTGAGGAAGGAGCAAAAGAGAGAGATGTCAGAGGGATAGAAGGCATTTAGTTAAACGCCTAATCGCGGTCCACTTAGGTTCTCGAGCATCTCGAGATGGGGTTTATTTAGAACGGTCGAACCTTCAACCACCCGACTTTTCAATACTAGCCAAGCTGATACTTAGAGAAAGATCTTGTAAAAACTCATGATCGAACTGTATTCACGAACAATTCGACTTAATAGTCTCCCATATCCGCAATGCTCTCGTCACCAACCAACAATAGTAGTACCACCGACATAGCGTAAATATACTACATATGTAACATCCATTAAGTAGCTCACTTAAGGCTCGTGAATAGACTCTCACCGTACCTGTAGGTAAGGATCGAGGTTTTGATTTTGACCATAGACTCTAGATGGTCCATATGTTTAGAAACTCATCAAAGCCGAGATGATTAAGATCTCTATGGTCTGACTAGGGTCAAGCTGGGTGATCCTATATCCAAGGTAGGCCACAAGTTAATGATCCAATTTCGATATGTATGTATCTAGCTGTAATAAGGGGTTTTTCTGTAAATGAGAGTGATTCTAAGTATATGATGATTAATGAATTCTTAAAAAAATTGACAGACCTTTTTCATGCTTTCATCTTAGATACACCTTTACCATTTCATATCGGGTCAATACGGGGGTGTATGACCGTTCGCCAGAATCACGTCTACACCTGCCTGGGCAAAAATGCCCAAAAAATGTATTATAGGTGGCTATGACTAGTTGTCAACTTCTCGCTGCTCAATAGTTATATGCAGTGAGTAGTTGTTGTTGCCTTTTGCTTACATTTTCATATAACACTAATTTCAATTTCTTTTCAAAACTCTCTTCCGAAATCTCTTTGCCCCCGTTTTCTAAAGCTTTCGTCTTGAACTGAGGCCAACGGCTCGAGCATACGTCGCTTAGCCGTAGGCGACACAAGAACAAATAGGCTTAACTCACTTGCTGCTGAGAAATGAGTGCCGCACAATCGCACAATCGCAAGTCCGCTGCCATCAAAGTGAGATTTTGCATACTTCTAGATCTCAATTATTTCTAACTCGAACATTAAAGTTTAAGGTTATTTATTTATTTGTTTACTTTCAACTATTTATGAATGGACTTTCAGTTGAGATATAATTAAAGTGTGTTGAAATAATGGAAAAGGGTTTAATAATTGTATTGATTAAATATAAAGATGTGGTTAACTATTCTTCCACCATGAGTTCAAGTAATTTTAATTTTAATTATCATTAATTTATAATTAAAAGTGATTTAATGGAAAATTTTAAATTAATTTCTAAGAAAAATATTCAAAAGTATTTGTAAGATTTACTTTTGGATTGTCAAATAATATTCTGTTGTCTTTTTGTGTTAAAAATTAAAATAAAATAAAAAAAGCATTGGTCCATTAAGATTCCAAGGCTATGAATTATATTTAAATAAAATTTTAAAGGCTATTTCTTTTTTCACATAAGGTGTACACTAGTGAGGTTCGGGAAATTTTGTTGATCTAATACGAAATTTTTAGTTAATTGGGTTGGTGACCCGACGCTTGAATAGCAGTTACCAACATCAAACATTTTTAATATTTGTAATAATATTTAAAGTACGATTGAGTTGTAATCCAATTTCAGAGTCGGTAGGAATGGAATAAAAAAATGTTAAAACATAAAAAGATTAAATTATTTTTTAAAAACAGGTAAATGTATTTTTTTATAATGTTTTAAAATTTAAAAATGTTATTGAAACTTTCCCAACTATATTTTTTTTTATTTTAGATAAAATGCTAAATATTTTTATTAATTTAATTTTAAAAATTTTAAAATTAGAGATTTTCCGTTAATTTATTTTTTGTTTTAAAAAATCGTTTTAACTTAATTTTTTTTATATAATTTAAGAGGGAAAAAGACAAAATTGAATATTGTTAAAAGAATATATATATATATATATATATATATATATAGTTACGATGAAAATTGGAATAGAGTTGACCGTAGAAGGTGCGAGAATGTGTTCAGAAGTGAGGTGTCTGAGGGCTAAGGGTTTAGGGCAGGGGAGGGTATGGTTACGGGCCGCACCCTGACATAAATACACTGTCACAAATGAAACCCTAATTTTGACTTTTCTATTTATTTACTCAATTTTTTTTTTTTATATCTTGTTTTATTTACCTTAAACTTTTTTACCGGGTGTGTAAATTTAATTCGACTGTTTAGGGTTTAGGGCTATAAACCCTAAACCCTAAATTTAATTTATATCTGGTTTTAATTTGACGACATGTCAACATCAGCTACTTATCATATCTTCATTGGACTAGCGGGAGAGAGAGGAACAAAACATTTCTTATAAGAGGCTGACACGTTTTATAACAATGAGACTGACAACGAGTGTATAGAAACTTCTCTAACACATTTTATAACAATGAGACTGACAACGATAGTAACCAGCCAAAGCAGACAATATCTATGAATGGTGGGCTTGGGCTATTACAAATGATATCAGAGCTAGTCACCGTGATGTGTTAGTGAGGACATTGACTCCTAAGGGGGTAGATTGTGAGATCTCCCTAGCAAACACATTTTAAAAATATGAGGCTGATAGCGATATATAACGAGACAAAACGGACGATATCTGTTAGTGTTGGACATGGACCGTTAGAGTTACGTGAACAAAGGAACGATATCTTGTAAGGAGGATTAAAATTAGGGGTAATATTGCAAAGAGATGTGGGTAATGGGGGAATATACAAAAACCCCCCAAAGAAAAGAAAGAAAAGTTAAAGAGGTGTGGCCCCATTTCTGTGTCTCCCTTACTCTCTCCTCTGTCACTGTGTCCCATCCCCTGTTCTTCTCTCTGCCAATTTATAAGCCCACCTCCTTCCTTCCACCACACCCACAATTCCTTCTCCTTCTCCTTCTCCTTCTCTTCCCATTTCTCTGCAATCTTCAAACAACCTCAAAGCTTCTTCAATGGAGGTACCCATTCAACAATCTCTCTGTTCTCCTCTGTTTCCTCTGTTTTCCTCTGTTTTCCTCTGTTTTAAGTGCTTAAGTTTGTTTGTACTACAGGACTACTACTGCCGGAGGAACTACATTCCGAGCTTCGGAAACTGGGAATGGAATGACCATCTCCGCTTCTCCCACTGCTTCGAATCATCCAGAATCGCCGGATATCCCCACGACACCGATTTGTACGTCACCGGCGATTTGTACGAAAACGACGTTGTCACCCCTGCAATGATCGTCGTCCCTCGCCACAGGGTACTTAAAAACAACCCCATTTCTTTAACCCATTTCCCTTGCTTCTTCAATCCTTCCAATTAATCGGGAATGAATTTGCAGAGGAAACGAGAGAAACAGGGGAAGCAAGGAAAGAAGGCAAACTATATGAACATGAAGGAAACAGAGAGCCCTCCTCATGAACTGCTGCAATTCCCAAGGCCTAAGCCCAAGCCAGTCGACGAAGACTTATACAAAATCCCTCCCGAGCTCCTCGCCAAATCCAGAAAGGTCTTTTTCTGATCTTTTCCCTTCGTTTTTTGATTGAAATTGTTCGTTTGTTCATATGGGTTCATCATATTTTGCAGAAGAGAGGGCTGAGCTTCTTTGCAAACTGGTTTGTGCCAAATTGTTTGATATGAAGAAGAAGAAGAAGAAGAAAGAGATGATCAGCTGAATGAGTGTATATTGTTGTTATCAGAAAAACAGAGACAGCCCACATAGTACATATCTGTTGGGATGTTTTGAGTATCAAATTCATATGATATTGATATATATTTTGAAAAATCATAGATAGCAAGAACTGGGCTTTCTTATATTTGTAATTTTGTGTTTTGGGATGTGTGTTTTTAATATGAGGGGAGAATTATTGGTTCAATGTTCTCCCATTGGTTACTATGTTGGGTTCGTTAAGTTCGATCATAGTAAAAGCGAGTTATGTTTTGATCGACTTTTTTCTTTTTAATGTTGTGAAATTTTGTCGTTGCTAAATAGTTACGGCATTT